CAGATTACTGACACCTGCAGAGTCTGATCAAAATGGGTAATCCCACAGCAAACAGCTAAAGGAGTGCAAATTTTTAGGCTTGCAGCTAAATTTTTGGAACTAAGGCCAGGGTTAATGTTTGGATCACGTATCCTCCTGAATCATCTAGTTTCTCCTGAGATAAAAGATGATCTCCTGGACACTTCTGTAAGTAAAAACACCCAGGAAGGGACAAGGGTGGAACAGAAGGGGAATCACTGGGTCTTCAAGAAAGTATTTTTGTTTCCCATTTTCTTTGAACACAGTTATGTGTCGGTTATAAAAATATTAAGGATGAGGAATAAAGACTCCTTACCTAGGGAGGCAGCAGAAAGGACATAATGTTAAGAAACCACAGGAATATACTCAACCAGAGCTGGAAACTCTATTTTACAAATACAACGACTACTGTGCCTTGATAACAGTGGTTATATCTAAGTACGGTTACTCTACAGTTAATTTTAGTTCCATTTCCCTAAAATAGATAAGGTTGAGGGGTGATTTAATAATTATTTGACATTTTGAAAGGATGGGAAAATAGATGGAAATGGAGGTGAGAGTTGAGGACAAAAAGCAGGGAGAATTGTTTTCTATAGTGTTAAGAGACTGTAACATTCACTACTGCAGTCAGCAACTGAAGAACAACCCATTTTAACTTTTACCCTGCAGTTTAGAGTGGTGATTGAAGATACAGAGAGACAATGTGTGATTAGAACCACCACTCATGTGCTGTTAAACACCAAAACCATGAGCTGGTACAGTTTCCTAGGCATTTGTAGTGTGTTAATGGGGCAGATCACCATAGGAGTGAGAGAGGAGGGATAGTAAAGTGGAACAGAAGAGAAGGGAAAAGAGCAGGTGGGAGGAAGAGAATGAGTGAAAAGGTTACAAAGGGGAGTTACGAGAGAGAATTAGATCAGATAAAGTGAGAGAAATAAAGAAAGGAGAGGAGATAACAAATATGGAACAAAATAGCAAAAACAGGAAGGAAAGAACAAAGGGATACAGAATGATTGGAGCGTGTGAGAATCAATACTGAGAAGTATGTTACAGGAAGGAACATGCACATATCTCATTTCCCACTGGTTCCACCAGAACACACACAGGATGAAAATTCCCTATGTCTCCAGCATATATTGAAGCTCTCTAAATGTAGCTTGTATTTTATTTCCTTAGGGAGCAGTATACCTTATGGAGGACATTGCTTGGAACTCATTTTGAATGTACACCACCTTAGGCAATTCTAACTCCATTAAATTTAAAACATTTCTAATAAGTTAAGGAAATCAAACAAAAAATTACGATTACAGAGAATCTTTTTTACATTCATAATATGCATTGGATGGAACAAATTTGCATTTATAACGTCGAACATTTCCCTAGGGCTGTGTAAACCCACTCTCATCCTTTGATGTTGGTTAAACATAACAACATCAAAAATAACCACGGTACAAACAAAGCACAGCTTTGTGCCATTAAAGCAGTTACTTATTGGACTACTGCACCTTGAAAACAGTGGCTATATCCAGCTACGGTTACTCCACAGTTAATTTTAGTTCCATAGCAAGACTGTAACCTGCTACAGCTCATCTACTGCTGAAACCCTCATCCAGGCCTTTTTTTTTAACCTCTAGTCTTGTCAATTCTAATACATTTCAGGCTGGCCTCTGATGTTCCACCTTCTGTAACCTTAAATTCATCCAAAACTCTGCTGCCCATATCCTAACTTATGCCAAGTCCGGTTTGTCCATGATTCCTAGTGCATGTTGATCTACACTGGCTTCTGATTTAGCAGTGCCTTAATTTTTAAACGTGTCATCCTTGCTTCCAAATCCCTCCAGGGCTTCCCTTCTCTATATCTGTAATCTTAGCTAGACCCATAGCCATCTAAGGCATCTGAGCTCTTCCATTCTGATGAGTTGAACATTTCCAATCTTATGTGACCTATCACTAACGGTTGTGCCTTCAGCTACCAAGGCTCTATGGTCTGGAGTTCTCTTGCAACACTTCTCTGCTTCGCAATATTTCTTTCCTCCTTTAAGACACTTTGTAACATTTGCATCTTTGACCTAGCTTTCGGTTATCTGTCCTAATATCTCCTTATTGTGGGTCATATTTCGTTTGATGATGCTTCAATAAGGGAAATTTTACTATGTCAGAAGAGCTAGATAAACTCAAGTTGTATTGTTAATGCTAATCGGATCACAATAAGACTGGCTGTTTGTTGCCGTTACACAAGAGTGTGCTAAATTTCACTTCAAACCACTTAAAAGTCAACACAGCATAACCATTTACTGTTCATTGCAATCATTGTCTTTTAAAAACATTTGAAAGCGACTGGGCCAGCATTGCGGCAAGCAAAATAAATGAAGGACAATAATTTTCCACTGCACTAAATAAAGGTGCATTTAATAATTATGTTCGACACAATTTTTAAAGTGGCTTTGTATTTTGATCATTAAATTAGTGGATGCTACTTTTCCACACAGTGCAAATACCCTGAAATACCATTGTATTTTAACATAAAACAAGTCTAATCCTTCACTAACAGTTTGAAAATCATGAATTGCTTCACTTCTCCTAATTTCTAATGGCTGACCCATTTTTTGAGCTCAGCATAGTTGAGTATGGTGATTGAATGGAAATCTCATTTCCAATACATCATTTAGATTCAATCCTGCTAGAAATAACAGTGATAGCAGTACTTTGTTTGGGATGAGTTCCATGAAGTTTAGACCAACAACTTTTCACCCCTCAGAAAAAATTGATGTATAAATCATCCACTTATCCCTCATTGTTGAGGGTTCTGCAGGGATTTTTGACTGGTTAGTACTGACAAAACAAATGTAAATGCCTGGTCACTAGTTTCTGCTTAATCTTATTTTTATCTTTCTTCCTCTCAACTGGTGCTATGGAAACTGAACCCTTCACCTAGATTTCTCAAGAATAAAAGAACAATGCTGAAGAATCCAGTTTAGGCTGTATAGACTTCACCAGCTTTTCAATTCAGAGTATTTACTTGTTCAAAGCCAATGAGCCCAAGGTGGAAAAACAGCAGGGAAAGAACACTGTTCTTTTAAATGATTAGAGCACCAAGTGCTGATGGATCCTACTGATGAGCAGTACATTAAACCATGTAGAAGTTGCACCTTTGGTAGCCACACACAAGAACAAAAAAGTAGGCTCGAGAAAAGAGTGTTTTAGAGAGGAATGTTTAGAGAGGCATCCTTCTATTTGTAAGAGACCCATAAAATCAGCACATTAATAGTTTTGCTGAATTGGTGTTAAAATGAGAATGGATGCTTGATTTGATTCAGTCATCTTCCCCAAAAACTAGGACCTCATCCTCAATTTTTACCATAGAGAAATCCCTTTGAAATAATGGAATCCATCCACCAGTAATTATGAATGGATTATACAGCTTCTGCTTGAAAAGTACTGACAGCTCCAAGCACCAAAATCACAGCCCTGTTAAGGTACAGAACTAATGCCAATTTGCTGCAAGCACCCATTCCCTCTAATTTATCTGCAATACTTTTGCTCCAATCAGACTGAGGGTGATTAGCATTGGGGATTTGAAACACTTCTATTATATGTCGCCAGCAAGCATGCTGAGGTCAAATACGGTGCAGAGTAAAATTGCCTCCATTGTGCCTCACAATGGTAGAAAACAGCCTTCCAACTGTGAACAGTGATGTTCTACTATCTCTCGTGGTCTGCAAATTTGTCTAATCTTATGCATCTTTGTGCCAAGTTGCAGACAAATGGATACGGCAAACAAGTGGACTACAGTATATCACTTTAAAAATCCTTCTGATTTGTCACTTTCAGGAGCTTATGTGCCCATGGGACAGTGAGGGTATAAAGAGTCTAGTCATGATGAAAGGATATTATTGAACTAGAAAGAGTGCAAAAAAGATTTACTAGGATACTACCTGGACTGGAAGATTTGAGTTAGAAGGACAGGCTGGGACTTCTTTCCCTGGAGTGTAGGAAACTGAGGGGTGACCTTATAGAGGTCTACAAAATCATGAGGGGCATAGATAAGGTAGATAGCCAACAACTTTTCCCCATGGTAGGGGAGTCTAAAACTACAGGCCGTAGGTTTAAAGTGGGACGGGAGAAATACAAAAGGGTCGACAGGGGTAATTTTTTCACACAGAGGTTGGTGAGTGTCTGGAATGGGCTGCCAGAGGTAGTGGTGGAGGCGAGTACAATTTTGTCATTTAAGAAATATTTGGACAGATACCCAGATAGGATAGGTATGGAGGGATACAGACCAAATGCAGGCAAATAGGGCTAGCTTAATTATGAAAACTGGGCAGTATGGGCAAGTTGGAGCAAAGGGCCTCTTTCCTTGCTGTAAACCTTTACAACTCTACGATGGTCCAAGCATAATAGACCAAGCTGGTCTTTGCTTGTCTATCCTAAAATTTGGAAACTTTGCAGACCATGTGGGTATGTTGTCAGTCACAGTACTAATATTCTGACAGCCCACCTTGGGGTAATGCAAAGCCTGTCATTGCCAACTATACTTGGTTAGTTTCATACTTTTCACTGTAAAGATCTTTTTTCACAAACATGTACAGATTGATATGTGTTCATGCTTCCAACTGAAATCAGAGATGGAGTCAGCATTAATGTTTTTAATAGAAACAAGTTTTAATCCTACTTTCAGAGAAACACACTCTATTATTGACACAAAATTCCAGAGTATAAATACAGCCTGGTTAAATTAGTTCATAACTATGCAGGATATGGTGTACAACATTTCCCAAAAAACACTGAATAGATGTTGGCAAGTTTGATAAACCTATGATATTTTTACAAATATCTCTCACAGTGACCCACTTCCAAACCTTATTTAGCTTAAGAGAAAATGGTCAAGCTGTGGAGATAGTTCAATATTTTATTCCCAGTCAAAACAACATTTATGCCAATAAAAATGTGAAGAATTGTAGGGAAAAAAAATTCTTACTCACCAGGAGCTTTAACAGCCAGAACCTAGACTTGTAGTAGCAGGTTTTTGTGGGATTGATGAGAAACAGGAACATGAACCCGTAGAGTATGAGAGGGTTGACCTGCATTGGAACTAAGTCGTATGACCCATATAAACTGATGAACAGGCTCAAGCCCCAAAGGACTCCCAGGAAGCCAGCAATCTGTAAAAAGATAAATGCTTTTACTTACTTACACAGATACACGCTTAAACTGTATAAACCAATTCTCTTCCCTTACACACTTGAAAATACAATACAATTAACACGGTAATTTAGTCAACTATGGCCACATGAAATAGATGCTAACAGGGCTGTGTGTGGAAATAGTCCTCATTTAAAGAGAACACATTGAAGGGAACTTTACCAGATACTTATGATGCAATGATCAAGTATAAACACAGGTTTCAAGACAGGATAGATAGATTTTAGCTCGATTGAACAACAGTGGGTGAATATCTCATTCCCTCAAGTTTTGACGTGTGCCAGATATTTGTATTATTAGCAGAGAGGTGCACTATTTAATGAATAACCAGTGAGCTTAATCGTTGTATCTACACTCACATGTAGCAGAGACAGTCCCAAAATGATCCTTTTGGAAAGGAAATCACAATTTGACAATGGAAATCTGTTGCTCAATAACCATGATTAAGTGTTTCCTTCATTATGTTGTTTCACATTTTCTACCAGAGTGGAGTTGATTGCTTGAGTGTGTACATCTCATGACAGGAATGTGAGTATCAAAGTGCCTACTAACTGTTGGACTTAGTAATAAAATAAGCTCTTGATATGAGGAAGGATGGCTAATAATAATGCATTATTTTCCACCCTTGAGTTATCTTGTCCTTGAACTACATGTTCTTCCACATCAAATTTGCTCTCCCAAATGTGCGATTTCTCAAGGTCATTGAACATTTTTTGTGTCCCTGTTTATTATTGGTGCTTCAAATTTCTTCAAAGAATCACTTATACTCTAAAGAGTCACAATCTACAAGGAATTCCACTTACATTGCATAACTGTGCCGTGGCAGCTGGGGACACAATGACAAGATCCTACTCTGAATTGCTTATCTCCAAACCATTCTTTGTAGCTGCAGAGGTCCTTTCTGTTTGATGGGTACCAGGATAGATTCAGACTCTCCAAAATAAAAAGTATGAGGTCCATAACACTCACATACCAATCCCTTCTCTGAACAGGGAAAACTAGTCATCTGCCACAGAGAATTTTAGAGTTGGGGAAGACAGATTCAGAAGACAGTGTTTTATGGGAGTGCATGTTTCCTGATTTCCACTGAATAATAGAAACCCTGCTGGAGAATAAGGCCTCGATGACATTGATGAAACTACAAAACTAAAAAAAGGCAAGCAATATCATTACCCCCTGGGCAAGGGAACCAGTTCCAAATAAAAGCAACTGCCAAATGCCCTCTTTGGCAGTGTGATAAGAATGTGGTGCTTAGATAACTGAAATCTTTGACATTGTGTTTTAGTTCTGATATTATGGCAAACAGTTCATTTAAATGCTGCTTCTTCTAAGGTCGCCAAGTATCCACTGGAATTCTGCAAAAACGGTACTTTATATTGTTTGAAAGTAGCCCCAAAGATACCCATAAAAATCACAGGAAAATATGCAAAATTTTCTGAATAGGCTACACAGGCTGCAAATGAAATAACCAAGACAGGCAGTATAGAAACTCACATTAAAGCACTTATTTAATAGAAAATTTCTCCCCTGGAGAAACTGAACGGAGATTGTTTGAGATGATTATTTAGAATTGACCCAAATTCATGCACCTAATAAAAGATACATATCTTTGATTAATACAAAAACACGAGGTGAAATGTTTGTTTAAGAAAATAAACACACCATTGGGAAAATTAAGACCTGCCATAGGTCTATCAATCACATCTGAGATGACTAACCTCAAAGAGATGTTGATGGGACAGATTGCTTCTGGGGTTGAGTTCAAAGATTAGCACATGGTTCACTCCAGCCTGCCGCCAACCATATGTGTTGATGCCAAGCAGAAAGAGAAACTCGATCAGAAGGAATCCACCACGGTAAATACGCACCAAAGGCCAAATGTTCCCTTCTTTTGATTTACCTGGAAAATGCAGCAAGAATTGGTAAAGCAGTTGATGATCCAGACTGAACTATTCTTTTTAAATGAAGTAACAAGAATCATCTTGACATAGATCTTTTCACCACTATTTGACAGTTGAGTAAGAATACACAAAATTAATTAGAAATGTTAAAAAAAAAGAGTAATTTTCTGTGCAAAAAGTAAAACAAAAAAACTTTCCCGCACTCAGTCTCTTGCAGGTCTCATTACATTAAGGAGATGCAGAATAGAGAGAAACAGGATGCACCAAACTATACTCTAACACAGACATCGTAATTCTCATTTAACACTGGGCTTTAATCAATGGCTAATTAGCTCTCTTGGAGAGGACAGGTGCCTGAAATAAGAAAAACATACTTAAATAAGGCAGAATGGTTCTTGTGGTGCAATGGTGGTGTCCCTATCCCTGAAAAAAGAGAGACCCGGGTTCAAATCCCACCTGCTCTCAAGAGTTGATTACAACATAGGTTAAATAAAAATTTTTTCAGAAAATTTAATAAGGCAGAATGTTTCTTGTGGCACAGTGGTAGCATTCCTACACCTCAGACAGGAGGTACGGGCTCAAGTTCCACTTGCTCTAGAGGTGGGTAACAATACGTCTGAACAGGTTGATTAGGAAATATAAAATAAGCTCAATATTCAGAAAGGAAGGCTCTTGTGGTGCAGTGGCAGTGTCTCAACCTCTGGACCAGGAGGCCATGATCAAGTCTCACGTAATGCAGAGGTGTGTCTTAACATCGGTGAATAGATTAATTAAAATATCTAAATAACGTAGAAAAAGGACTTCTGTGGCACAGTAATATTGACTCTGCCTTTGAGCCAGAAGGCCTGGATTTTAAGCCCCACTTGCTTCAGAGGGCTGTCATAACACGTCAGAACAGGTTAATTAAGAAACAATAAAAATAAGGCAGTAACTGTGCAAACCAAATTAAAAAACATACCATTACTGTATTAGAACCTGCACTGTCTTTACTGGGCTGAACAACGCTTTCTAAACTGCATGTTAAGCCTTCAGTCTGACTATTCTATTGCTGAGGTTTTGCATCTTAATTTTTCCTATGCCATCTCTTCAGTCTATCTGGCACCATTCTTTCTCATTGAAAACTGCTCGGATTATTATTCCCCTCAAAAGTCTCAATACCATATTACTGACACAACATTAGTGATTTCTGAAGTTATCAAAACTATTATTAACACTCGGATCATCCAGCACTTTGAAGTTTCTGGTCCAACCAATGAATCATTTACTATCTGTCTATGTGGTTCGGTCATACTATTAGTTACCTTTTTGCCCAAGGTGATGTTACTCCTAGACCTCTACTTTTGAACATTTATTTGAACATTGACTTTAACACTGACAAAATCCTTGACTGGGTTTGGCTCCATAAATTTCTAAGCAAGTCATCGCTATTTAATTTTCAAGATGATGAAGTTACCCCTTTCTCTATCCATGACCTAAGGTTCAATTCTTTCTTCATGTCACCACTTTGTCACTCTTCTGGTGTCTAATCTGCCTGAATTCAGCAATTCTTCACCTGGCTCAACTCAGTACACAGTGCATGGACCAATGTTCCTCTCAAGGATTCTGTGATTCAATTCCTGAATCACTAAATCTCAAGTGCCTGCATACTTTTCAATTGGGGTCCCAACAATGCAGTATAGCAGTTATCACACAGAGCCCATTCGCTTGTGAATCAATTTCGAAACCAGCCAAAACTTTCTCAAGAGTGGTGCAATGGTAGTGTCCCTATCCACAGGTCAGGTCTGGGTTCATGCTCCACTTACACTAAAAGTACTTTTAAAAAATAACATTTTACCATTCAATTTGGCTTTGATCATTGGGTTTCTTTTAACTTTTGAAGTTATTGTTACTTCGAGTCTTTTGCAAACCAACAATTTGCAATTATGTCGTGTGTCGAAGCAGGAATTTGACAAAAATTTGAAATCAAGGAGATATTAGGTCAGGTTTTAATCTAAGGGAAAAGTTTCATGACATTTTTTTAGAGGAGGAGTTTGGTAGATAGTCTTAGGGAAGAAACTTCAGAACTGAGGATTTTGACTGCTGAAAGCACAGCTGCCTGAAAATTAGGAAAGTTTAGAAGAATCAGAGCAGCATAGAGATTTGAGGGTTGGAGGAGGATATAGAGACAGGAGGAGAGGACAAATCCAGCAAACAGCATTCATGCCTCACCTTTGATTACTCGACTCCTTCATCGACTGACATCCTTGGTCTCACTAGGTTCCAATCTCAGATGGAACATCCTAAGCATTGCTCAGACTGCCTGCAAGAAGTTTGGTTCTCTCTCTTTTATACAAAATGCTATTTTCCCTTCAAAAACACTTGGGTCTCTGAAAGTTTGTTCAAAACTTGAATCCTGTTCCCCAGTTTGGGGAATCTTTGCTTGCTTCCTTCTCCTGGGTAGGACAATAAAAAAAGATTGGTACCTGATGCTACAGTATGTTGTCCTGCTCATGCTAATCAATTCAAGATGATAGTGGCATTCAGGACAAATTACATCTGACAGCTGGCTCAAACAGAGTTTTAACAAATAGTGGACTATTGGATGCAAATTACTTCAATTGTTAATGCAGTAAAAGGAACAACTGACCACTTAGAATGCTGGGTTAAACATTAGACTAAAGGAAACAACTATCCCTTAGTGCCAACTAGAAAAATTGCAGAGACTTTGGCTTTTTCCACCAGGAAAAGAAGACACCTGAGAGGTGATCTTATAGAGATATACAAGACAGTAGACAGTGTGGGTGAAGTTAATTTGTAAAATTACTTAAAATGATCCTGTGCCTGTCGAACAGAAGGGGGCATATCAAAATAGTCAATAGTAATTTTGAAATTGTGAGATGCAAAGAATCAGTAACACTTAAAATTGACTTTTGGGGCATGTTGTGGAGGTAAAGCCTCTGGAATCATTTAATAAACTATTAGAGACGATAATGTGGTGAATGTAAACTCTTTTAGGATGGATGAATTAGGATAAGTTGGATGGGTTTTCTAATCTGTAAACATCTTGAGATCTCATGATAAGTAGAAGATGTTGCCAGCAGCATAAATCTCCTCCTCCCTTCACAAGATGGAAAAGCATTTTGCCTGCAGGAGATATTTACTGGAATTACAGGGACAAACTGTGTCAATGATTCCCACCATTTGAATAAGTGCAAAAGCATTTTCCTTGTTTATATTACTGATTCCCAACTGATATCATGTTATTTGATAACATTCCTTTCTGTATCTAGTTTGCATTTTTACTATCACTATCACGTTTACAAGGGAAAAGGATCAAAAAGCCCTCCCTTTCTCCCTTTTGATCCAACAATGCCTTCCTGTACCTGATAGCAAATACAAAGACAAAAGCGGAACAGTGCAATTTGACTCCCTCTTGCACAAAAGACCATTCTCTTTTGAACTCCATGGCCAAAACCCTTAATTTACCAAGTGCCTCAACATGGGACACATACCCAGCCATAGTACAGTTCACATACAGCAAGAAATATATCACAGAACAGCTGTTCATTCTTTTAGTTTGCAAGTAGTTTCAATATTATTTACTGCCAACATGTTCTTAAGAGTTTTCTGCTGGGTATTTCAAAGTCCATTTATAGGAAATTTGTAAACGTTTATGCATGATATGCAGTCACATTTTAATACTGAAATTAGCCAAAGATATTGGGACAGAGTAAAGGAAAGGGAATGAAAAATGAGTTTTGGTAGGTTATTCAATCAGGGGTGGCACTGAAGCCAAGCCTGAACCTGACCTTACTCTGACCACACAAGCACATTACCCATTCACTAGTTTACAATCACAAACAGCTATCATGGTTGGTTCACCCCTCCCTGGTTTCGTGCTCCTGAGGGCAACACAAACCCCTTCCATCAACTGCTGTCTCAGCTGAAATCAGCTGATTCAGCACAGATGAGGTAATTCATCTCCGGACGTTTTTGTCAGCATGATTCACTCTGGTTATTTTTACCTTGCTTCTGGTTTGTGGGGGCACGGTATAAAATCGTATACCACAGATTAGTCTTTTGATCCACAAAATGTCTTTTGGGAAGGGTGGAGAGATACAAAAGCCACAATACGAACAAAGGATACGTACAACTGACTCACTGCAATTCTGCGTGACAGCCTGGGCACCATAATCTTGTTGGTTACATGGTAGGGCTCATAAAATGATAACTTGGCAAAAGCTGCACAGCCTCAATTTGCTAGCTACTCCCTATCTTAGTAAGTGGGAACTCAAAGGTTTCCGGCAGGTGAAGCAAGGCTGTGATGTAAATGTGAATAAAGATCACGGTAACGATGCTCGGTTTAAAATTGGCGAACACTGTTCATCCTGGTAATATTTTCCTTGAAGTTTTGAAATTGCAGAAGCATCGCAATCAGCAACTATCTCTATCCATTATCAGCAGTACTTGGCACTTGAAACCGATGGGGAAAATGAGAAGTACAGCATATTGGAATCTGCTTAACTTGCATGATTTTGGAACATTATCTCAGCAGTATGCTTATTACTGCTTCCATTTTGTGTAATTTACTTCTGGGTTGAAATTTTATTCATATTTAAGAAGAGAAATAGAACGCCCAATAGTGGGGTGGATAAAAAGTTAGGTGGGTGTGAAATTGAGCTGCACAAACCATGATTTCTCTTCTCAGTGTGTGGAAAGTTGGCTGATCTTAACTTGGCATTATAATTGCTCTCAGTCCTGTGGAGTGATGGATGGAAAAAAAAAAGTTCTCACTCCTGATTCCAAACCTGCAACAGTTGCTGGAGAACGTGAGTGAGTGACTGACTGACTGTGAAGTAAGAAAGAACAGGTTTGTGTTCAGGTACTATGCTTCCCACAGTTCAAATCTTCATAGTCAAGGCTCTGCAGCGGGAGGTACCAGAAGTTGACTAGTAGGATATGCCCCTCAGGATAAGATAGCACCTTCATGGGGAAAGGAGAAAAAACTGGGTGGAACGGGAAGTAAACAGGAAAGTTTTGCGGTTTTAACTAATTCAGTGTGAGCACAAATGTATCATTCCCGAAACAAGGTTGCCTTAGGAAGTCGACCCTCACTTGGCAACATATCACTTGTCTTTTAATTATTTGTTAACAGTTTACGATGCTGTTGTATTGTTCACCGCTGCTTGCCTTTGAGAAGGTGGTGATGAGCTGCCTTCTTGAATGCTGCAGTCCATCCGGTGTGAGGACACCTACAGTGCTGTTGCAAAGATAGTTCCAGGATTGTGCCCCAGTGACAGTGATGAAATGAAAATATAGATCCAAGTCTGCATGGTGTGTAATTTGGACAGGAATTTACAGTTGATGGTGTTCCTATGCCTCTGCTGCCTTTACCCTTCCAGAAGGTGGAAGGGTTTGGTTGATGCTGTTGAAGGAGCTTAGGTGCTTAGTTTCTGCAGTGCATCATGTATCTGGTACACACTGCTGCTACTGTGCTTTCATGGTGCAGGGAGTAAATGTTTATGGTTGTCAAAGGTTGTGGGGGGTGGGGTGCATTCACAAGGGCTCTTGTGGAGGCTGTAAAAGGACTTTAGGTGGTGGACATCCTATGTGGACTCAGGAGGTGAATTACTCACGACAGAATTCCCAGACTCTGACATGCTGTCGTAGTCATGAAATTTATAATGACTGGTCCACTTCAGTTTCTGGTTAATGATAATTAATAATAATCACCAGATTCTTTATTGTAGGTGGATTTAGTGAAGGTAATGCCATGATGTCAAAGGGAGATGGTCAGATTCTCTCTTGCAGAAGATGGTCATTGCCTGGCACTTGTGTGGTGTAAATGTTACTTGCAACATGAGAAACAAAAATATGTTACGTCCTTATTTCAAACACGTTAAACAGACACAAACCTAATTCCTTTAGAATGCAGAAAACTAGTGCATACATGGTCTTGACATTTACCTATGAGTATCAGAGCTGCAAGCAGTACAACAAAAATTCCAAAGTACATTCCCACCCTGAATATGGTCCACGCTGGGGCTGGCTGTAAAAAAAAGACAATGAGGTAGATAAGACAGGGTAAAGCAAGGAATAGGAATAATCCTTCAATTCTTACTGAAACAATTCTATGCCCCTAAACAGTAATAATTTACATAGATGATCTCCTTGTACAAATCTTTACTTAAGTTTTAAATTATACAAGGCACATTGCATCCAAATGATTTAACAAAAGCAATGGGAAGACATTTTAGCTGGTTCTTTTAAAGGTACCAACAGCTACAAGAAAAACATGTTGCTAAAACCTAACAAACTCGAAGGACTTTTTATCCCATTCACAAGCTCTGTGTTGAACCTGTACAGAAAGCAGATCAATTAACAAGCTAAAGCTACCTTCATGTAATCATGCAGTTAGATTGTCAACACCTCCCACTTTTCAAGACTAGCTGCAGTTGGATCCGTACACTATAGTGTCACAGCACCAGCCTGTGTTGAATTTACCCTTAAAGGAACTTGAATCAAGCACCAGAATTGGAGCTACAGTGATAAATTGGGAGTGATAAATATCAGCAGATGATCATAAATCCATCATTCTGTGCTTTACAGCCTGATCTTTTATTCTTGGGCCAAGGTTTAAGTGTTGCTAACACCACCTTGTCAAAGGGTTCAATATGAAGGGAGCCCAGGTAGTTTCAATCCAGTTCCAAATGAGTAATGATCCATAATTCAAAACCGTCCTTAATTGATAATCTCAAATACAGCCAGATTGGTCTTGGAAATGGATTACATCTTACTGACTTTTATAGGGTTATGCTCCACATGTGGAGCTTTACTTTGCATCTCAACATGGTATACCTGACCTCGGAGTGTTCAATAATGACAGTATGTACCTTAAATTGAGTCAGTGCTGTTTACCAGCAGCAGAAAAGAAGTAAAAAGTTACATTTCTAAAGCACCTTTCATTTCAAGATACGATAAAGCACATTACAGCCAATCAAAAGTTCTGAAGTACAGAAATTGTGAAATAGATAAACCAATTAGTTTGCGAACACCAAATGTAAACATTCCACAAACAGCAATTAGATGGATAAGCAATTAATCTACTTTGGTTTTGCTGGTCGAGCGGTAAATGTTGTCTATGTACCAGGAAAAACTTCCTTTCTCTTTTACTTTGTAAAATTGAGTTAATTCGAAAATAAAAACCAGTGCCTTTATCCTAACTTGTGGTGAGATCTGTTCAAAAATCACCCCTGTGATTCCTAAACTGCATTGGGTCCTGGTTTGGCAATGTCCTAGATTTAACACTGGCATTCTAATGTTTAAATTCCTCCACCCTTTTCTCTGTAACCTCCTCCAACCCTCCATGAAGACATCATTCCTACAATTTTTACCTATTGTGTAGCTCCAATTTCTATCTTTCCTACTTGCATTTGTATTCAGATGCCTACACTTTAAGTACTGGGTTTCCCCAGCGAACATCTGTACCTAAGTATAGCTTGTAAGATGCTCCTTAAAACCTACCTCTTTGAGCAAGCTTTTGGTAACCTAATCTTATGTGGCTCAGAATCAAATTTTATCTACACTCACTCATTATCCATTGATTTGTTACCCTCAGATCCTCATTTTCCTGAGGTCAGCCCCATTAACCTAACTGGTCTGATCACACAGTCCTTTGTGTTAAATAGAAGTTTTACCTTGTAGCAGTGTCCGTATTTTTTTATCTGCAGGAGGTCCATGGCCCGATACTCCGCAGATAATGACAATTTTGTGTATTAATCTTCCTGCAAAGAACTTTGTAACATTTTACTACACGAGAGGAACTTCAGAAATGCAAACTGTTGCAGTCAAAAAGTGCTATGGGGCTTTATGTGCCTCTTGAGGGGACTGTCAGGGCATCAGTTTAATGTTCCCTCTGAAAGCACCAGTGACAATGAGACTCTCAGTCCTGCCTTGCAGTCTCAGTCGAGAAAAACAATGATAGAAATGAAAGTTACTGCACTACAAGCTTAATGTAATCAGGACTAACCTGAGCAGCGCCAAGGGGTGGTACTCGTAACCTCTTCATGGCTTTCTGCCTGTCACCTCCTTCCAATTCTGCGGTAACAAGAGCCTACCAAGCAAAACAGATCAGAATTAATCTCATTAGAATATATAAGATAAAAAACAGTAAGTAATTGGTCAATAAATCTGAAGTAACTAATTCTACAACTGGTATATTTTAATTATTTTTCTTTTTGGCGATGGTCACATTTATTGCAAATTACTAGAGGTCAATAGCAGATGTTTTATAATTGAGTAGCGCGCTGAGCTGTGAGTGGACATTAAGAGTTGCTCAAATGAAGTTGGACTTGAGTCAGATTTTGATATGAGCCAGTTCTGAGGAAGGGTCACTCGACCCGAAACGTTAACTCTGCTTTCTCTCCACAGATGCTGCCAGGCCTACTGAGCTTTTTCAACAATTTCTATTTTTGTTTCTGATTTACAGCATCTGGAGTTCTTTCAGTTTTTGTTGACACGGGTAGGTTTGGCAAACTTCCCAAGTGTTGGCTTGCTGTACAACTGTATGAAGTAGGCTGGAAGATTTATCACAACTGCGCTCATCCTGTTCTCAGTTGAAATTGTGCTCATTATTATGCTGTGATTCTGTAAATCATTCCATTTGTTTAATTCAGGTTTGAACATGTAACCTATGGGTTGCTGATCTAGCACTATAAATACTACTACATTAATTCAATGTGAAGTTGTATGCTTATGAACTCATGGAATTAAACAAAATAGTAACATATTAGAAGTGATGATGGCTGGATAGCCTGAAACACATTAGGCAAAATAAATTTACATCAAGAATATTGGGATTATTCTCCCTGAAGCAAAGAAGATTTGAGAGATGCTTAAAGTTATGAACAATCCTGGTGGTTGATTAGCAACCAGAAGAAAAACATGTTATCTAACTGGCAAAGATCGAGAGGAGAGAGGTGATAATAATAATTCGAATGTATTGCTTGAATGGGCGGTGGAATCAGATTCACAATTAATTTTAGATATGGAACTGTATAGATACTTTGAAGAGATTAACTGAGGAAGTGGAATAATTGGATCATTCTTTTAAAGCGCTGACCCATCCAGGAAGGGCCGAATGTTCTTTATCAGTGCTATGTGCTTCTTTAAATAAATGAGGAACACTTAGCAAGAATTCTGTGATTACGTGCTGTGGTACGTGGTGAAGATGCTTAAACATCTTTGTAATTTCCCTATACATGTGCTTCTCTAAATCTTTCCCTCTAGTCAGAGGCCTATAGAATATAACCAGTACAGTAATGATGTGTCTTGCTTCTTAATAAGAGACAGCAAATACACGGTTACAGGTTCACTTGTAAAGCACTGAAATGGAGGTGGTTGTTTCAGCAGAGATTGGAAAATACTTCAGGCTGTGGAAAATGAACTTTGTCAAGAAAATGAGAGTTCCTAGCATTATTCAATCTGTGGACAGAGCATTTTAAACAGGATTGTTGGACCTTAGTTCTATTTGACTGTGTAGAACACTCTATTCCTCTTACCTCTGTTTCACTGATCAGCTGGGTGATCTTCTTGCAGGTATAGAATGGAGCCACCTCTACATGTGCCACTCTCCAATCAGCACCACGGCTTGTCTCCAACATTTTATCGTGTTTTTTCAGAATCTTTCTAAAACCGGTGAAATTCAGATTCTGCAAGAAAGTAAAGCAGCAAGCAGTTAAAAAGAGCACTTATTGGTTGTTGGCACAATTATCACATGGCTACCGCCTATCGATTGCATTCCAGACACAGAATAATCTGGTTAACTCTTGACTGCACTCTGAAATGGTCAAGCAAGCCACTGAGTTGTACAAAATTGCAGCAAAGATGTATAGACATCGAACTCAGCATTTGGTCACCCAACCAGATGACCCAGCAGAGATGTGTTCATTAAGACATTTTGGGAATTGTGCTAGACTTGGGAAAACCGTCCCACAGTATGGCCATACACTCAAGCGCCTCTATTGCCATTACGAGGTAGCTTCTATCTCATCTGACCCCAAGAAATCTCATGGCATAAGGTCAACCATGGGCAAGAAAACTTCCTGATGATCATTTCCTTTGGCTGGGGAATCAGTACTCCAACATGTTCAACATCACTTGGTAGAAGCAGCATGGCTTGGAATATTTTCTGGGTGAGAGTCTTTAATGTTCACCAGCAAGAATGGCTCAATAACCTTATTATTGACTGAAACTGGAGTTCTGAATAAAAAGGTGGTCAGACTAGATCTACAGCAAATGATGAGAGAAAATAGTCGAGTGAGATACCATTCTCAGGGAAGTTTCAACCAGACCTCGTCCTCACCAATCTCTCTGTCACAGTGCATCTATCTGGATCATCACACACATCTCGTAGAAGCAAAGCCCTTCACAGTCAGAACACCTTGCATGCTATTGAGCAGTATTTCTACTTCAGTAAGGCTTTTGACAAAGTCTTGCAAGGGAGACTGATTAAGGTGGTAATAGGCTGAGAGATCCAGGACAATTTGGTAAATTAGATCCAAAATTGGCTTAGTAGAAGAAAGCAGATAATTGAAGTTTAGTTTTGTAACTGGAAGCCTGCGTCCAGTGGCATAACAGAGCTCAGTGCTATATCCATTAATAATTTAGACATCAACGTAGGAGGTGTGATCAATATGTTTCCAGATTATGTGACAATTGGTGGTGTAGTTAATAGCAAGGAGAGGCGCCCGATGCAGATGGGCTGGTCAGATTGGCAAAACAGTGGAAAATATAATTTAATCCTGAAAAATGTGAGGTAATGCATTTTGGGAGGACTAACAAAGCAAGAGAGTAAACGTTGAATGACAGGACCTCAGAAGATCAGGGAGGCCTTGGTGTGCATGTCCATAGAGCCTTGAAGGGAACAGGGCAGATAAATAAGATGGCTAAGAAGAGACATGGGATACTTGCCCATATTATCTGAGGCATTGAATACAACAGCTGGGAGGTTATAGCCGAGAGGGACCTGATTGAAGTATACAAAATTATGAGGGGCATAGACAGGCTTGACAGGGGAGCAACATTTCCTCTTAATAAAGAGGTCAATAATCAGGGGTTATAGACTTGATGTAAGGGGCAGGTTGTGCCGATTTGGAACTCACTGCCTGAAAGGGTAGTAGGGGTGGAAACACTCAAAACATTTAAGTATTATTTAGATGAACATTTGAAATGCCACAGACTATAAGGCATGTGCTGGGAAATGGAATTAGAGTAGATAGGTGCTTGATGACTGGCACAGGCACAAGGGACCAAAGAGCCTCCTTCCACTCTGTAAAACTCTTCGAGCTCTATTTCTAGAATTCCAGCTGAGACAGATTCAAAACAGATTAAACAGCTCAAAATTGGGCTAGACATCTACGAAGTTCTTGGGCCATTGTCATCAGCAGAATTGCATTCCCCAACAATTTGTCATTGTCAAACAACCACCAAAATCAGAGGAACAACACTGGGGGAGTGTGAAAGAGCCTATTAGGTACAGTGTCTAGCATACCTGAAAAAGAGACGCTAACCTCATTCAGGTATACAATTACATCTGTGCTAAGCAGCAAAATTAGGATGTTGTCAATAGAAATAAGTAGTCTCATAATCATCCGACCTGCAGCCTGTAACACCCAGTCATGAATGGGTGGTGAACCGTGAAACAACCAGTGGAAAGGTGGCTAACAAGGAGAACCCCATGCCTGATGATGGAAGCGTTCAGCATGTGAATGGAAGGCAAAATTCCAGTGGGCATGAGCATTTTCAGGCAGATGTGGGTGATCCAATTTGCTCTGCTCCTGACTTCTCCACGATCACAGATGCTACCATTCAGCCATTTAGATTCGCTCTAGATGCTAATAAGGAATCGCCGAGTATAATGGATACACCAAAGGTTAGTCAAAGGAAAATAGTTGTGGTTGTTGGAGGAAAATCAGCCAAGTCCAGGGCATTGTTGCAGGAATTTCTCTTGGCAGTATCCTAGCCTCAAATGCCCTGCATGTAATAAGACTGACAAAATTGATAGAAGGGACTGATAAATAACACTAATACCAGACAGATGCCAGGCAATTACCATCTCTAAGAAGAATGAGCCCAAACATCTCCTCATGACATTCAATGGTACTACCATCATCAAATCCTCAACTAACATCTTGGTGGGTCAACATTATCCAAAAGCAGAACTGGACCACTCACATAACTACACCAGCCATTGGAACAAGGGGTCAGAAGTTTGGCATTCTCCACTGGGTGATTCAACTCATGACTCCCCTAAGTCTATCCAAATCAGGGGCATAAGGAAGACTCACCACTTTGAGTGTAGCTCCAGCAATACTCAAAGCAGCGTATCTATTCAGCCCTCAACCTGAAACATTCACTTCTTCTACTCAGAGATAGTAAGACCTGCCGATGCTGGAGTCTGAGATAATACAGTGTGGAGCTGGAGAAACACAGCAGGCCAGGCAGCATCAGAGGAGCAGGAAAGCTGATGTTTCAGGTCGGGACCTTTCTTCAGAAATGGGGGATGGAAAGGGGGCTCTGAAATAAATAGAGAGAGGGGGGTGTTGGGCTGGGAAAGGTAGGTGGGATGGTGATAGCAGGTAGTGGTGGGGATTGGTCAGTGAGGTGGGAGGAGCGGATTCTTTTACCAGCAGTTTCTGCAACAGCAGTTCCCCAAGCCTTAATCACCTCGAAGATCAAGAGCAGCAGCCACATGGGAAAATCAGGACCTTCAAGCTCCCCTCGTTATACACAATCCTAACCAAATATGTTGCTGTCCTTTCATTATTACTTGGCAAAAATCCTGGAACTCCCTATCTAAGAGCACTGCACAAGTACCATATGGACTACAACGGACCATCATCATTTTCCTGAGGGCTATTAGAGGTGGCCAATCAATGATTACCATGTTAATAATGTCTACATTCTGTGAATGAAAGTAAAAGAGACTGCTGAAAGGAGTTACCTGTGAATGAAACAGCAGGAGAAACAACTTTGCAACCACAGCTGAGACCCGAACTGCAGCTGAGACCCTAGAGTGATTAAGTACAGTTAACACTCTAAAATGGCATATCTTCCACTAGTGAGCATAAATAAATGCAGTGAATACGAAATAACCAGCAGGGGTTCTGTCTGTTTCTTAAAAAGTACAACTATACAGACTTGCAACGGAACCTCTCTCTTCTGCAAAGCTGATTGCTGATACCATCAATGGAATACAGAATACTGGCAAAGAGCTGAAAAGGGAAATTATTTTTTATCAAAATATTCTCTAAAAATCTGCAGGGAGATATCAATACACGAGTATTGTTGTTAACTTTAAGATGAAATTTATAAAATCGCAAGAAAATTACGAGAGAGGTAAGCAATTTGGAGCATCTTAATCCATCTCACCAAAAAGCCTAAAGTTTTCACAACACAGCGCCCAACTGGGTTTACTTAAATGCCGGGTTTGTGTTTTCACTAATCCATCCAGGAGCCTACATTGTGTAGTTACATTGCGCGGAAATCACTTTCCTAATATCAGTCTTAAATTTGCCCCTTCAGCCAGTTTAAACTTTCAACTCTTGTCCTACAATTGCAATAGATTTCAAGTTAACTTCTCAGACTTACCTTGTCCACATCATTGTCTGAACTCTCTGCAAAATGACCTCGTAATCTTTCCAAGCTGAAAGCCTCAATGCTATCCAATCTTTCTTCCTAATTTGGACCTCTGACGTCACAATCAGACTCGTGATTTTTCTCTATATGGCCTGCTTCAATGGCTCCCTTGTATCTCAGTCACAATAATTAGCCACAGCACTTGAGTTGGAGTTGACTAGAGCATTGTATAGTTTGTTTATATTCTCCTTTGATTTTAACTTGACTGTTGAGTGGTTTCACAGAATGTGTGAATGATACAGCACGATAGGCAGCCATTCGGCCCATTGCACCTGTGCTGGTCTTTAAAACAGCAGTCCAAATTAGCCTCCATTCTCTTGACTATCCTCCGTAGCCCTGTAAATCCTTTCCCAACAATTATTTCTTAATATCCTTTCAAAAGTTACCACTGAAAGTGCTTCCACAATCTCATCAGGACACATATTGCAGAACAATAAGTTACTGCTTAAATTTTCCAGAGTCTCTGGTTCTTTTGCCAATCACCTCAAAGGTATAGTTCAACATTCTATCGGTATTACAGACCAATGACTTGCCTCCAGTCTACCAATATCTTGCTTATTGCTTCCTATGAACAGTACCTTGCATCTGCCTGCATTAAATTTCATCAGCAAATTCACATATTTTTCCCTGCTTGCTGAAGTTGCTTTGGAGAAATCACCGGTAGGGAAAGGCTGCCCATCTGTGGACAGACCCTTTCAGTTTGACATGGAGCTGTAAATCTCCAGTGGCCTTGGAAGCAACCCAGACCTGGTTCAGTTCAATTGTATACACTGACTGAGCCACTCTCCTTGTAGCAACTATGAAACGGAAGTCCCAAAAGACAGCAAGTCTCCCCCAAACCCCATCCAAACAACAATATTTCCACATTCCTACCCATCTGTTATTCCACAGAGTAGTTAAAGTTTTGAATTCCCTCATATCCTCAATTATTTATTGACATTAATAAAAAAGTTCTGCAGTGATTGAACTATTATTGTACTTCAAAACATTGATAGCAATGTTACTGCAGGAT